CCGTCTTCAAGGAATGTCAATATTTTTATCCTCCTGAGATCCACTACCCTGCATCCTAAAGAGACTTCCAGCCTCTCGGAATCAGTCTAAAGCCAGGGAGACCACGCTCTTAGAAACGCCAACTGCCTCTGGGACATCCTCTTGTCGATAATCTCGATGACTCATTCTCACAATAATATTGCTAACTTCTGGTTCAAGATGGTTAAAGAGAATAAAACTGGATTTAAAATGGAGAAAAGACGAGAAAAGGTGTCTACAAAATTATTAATCTCCATTCTTAAGTAAATCCGTTTTAAAAAAGGAGGCTTAACATTTGTTTATTTTTGGTTGCATATTCTCTTTTGTTTTATCCAAATAACAAGAATATATCGGTTAAGTTAATTAAAATAAATAGAATAAGACCAAATTAAATTTTTTCGCAGTTTAGATGCCAGGCCGAATTTCTCTTGAACAGATAACGTTAACGAAAACCCAAAAAATACGTATTTAATATTTTTTATTCTAGCTCTAAAATTTCTACTGCTTTTTCAAAAATATATGTTATCAGGTATTTAGGTGCTAATCGGTTTTATGAATTTCATGGGATGATGTTAATGTGTTCCTGTTTATTGTTCTTTATCCCAGTAGTGCCGATTTAAATAATTTCTTAATGGTAACACCCTGTATAATGTAAAATATAAATCGTGTTGTAAAGTTAGCATATCAGCTTCCTACCGAGCGAACAGCGAAGTTCAATCTTTCTAGACATAGCGAGAGAGAGCGGTTGAAGCCACTAGGTATGTTGCGTCTGGAATTTTCTTCCCTTAATTGTATATAAGGCGAGAATTATAAATTTAAAATTGATGAAAGAAAGTAGTTAAATTAAAAAAAAAAAATACAAATTGGATTTCCAGAACTGCTTAAAGGGACGTCATCAAAATCATTCCAGTTTAAAATGAGTGTATTGACTAAAATTTTATTCAACTATACTTTAATTAATCCTACATAAAAAAAAAAAATTATTGCCGGCTAAAATACCTTCGGAAAACTTAAAGCAAACTGTTAGAACATTTTTCGATATTTATTTACATTTTAAAGCCCAGAAATGTAAAAGTTCCCACGAAAGCTTTGACATAGAAGCGTTTTATGTTTATTAATTTGTCTTCAGAGGGAAACAGTGGAAAATATATTCATTAGCCAATAATAATAATAATCCATTATATTTCGTGGTCCGATTGACCAAATAACTTTCAATTAATTAATCTTTGTGTAAGACATTGGTTGTCGCCAAGAATCGAATCCTGATTACACTACATTTGAAAAATGGCAAAAAGGAGGGAAAATCCGAAAGGCTGAGATGGGGAGTTGGCGTCCGAGTGAAGCGAAATCACGATAGCTCACGTGGTTAGATCAGAGGCATAACTGAAGGTCGTGGGTTCGAATCCCGCTGGTAACATTGACTTTTTCATTTCGACCTATACCTTACATAAAGATTAAATAATAATATTGCTTTATTGAACTTAAGAAAAAATAATAAATGTGCTTTCAATGCTTGTATGGACATGGATCTTGTATCCATCCGCCTGAGGTCGTTGGTTAAATATCAGAGAGGGAAAAACAGAATAAAGTATAATAATAATAAGTGTAAAACCTCACTTCTTAGAGTAAATAACCATCGCAACTCATTGAGACAAAGACCATCAAAATTGTCTTCATGTAGGTCGAACAATGCAGGAGAAATTTGTATATCTTTGTAAAGTGATATATGTTTAAATGCTTGGACACGTGACCAGAATTCTTCGGGATGTTGATTTTTAATTTGACTAATAGGAACTGAGAAAGCTGTGCCAGTCTCAGAAGTTGTCTAAGAATAGGAGGAAGGGCAAGTTGTATTTTTCAAACAAATATTTCCAGTGTGCAACCCATGAAATATTATACTTCAGTACCGCCAACGCTGTAATTTTTCTCTATCGAGTACGGTATACACCAGAACTTTCACAATATAGGACTAGTGAAGCTTAAGTGTATTTTCGATTAATTTAACTAATCTGTCATTCCCTTTTACGTTTATAAGTACATTTAGTTTGTAGATTTTTTGGAGCGTGTCAATACAAGTTCATATAAAGAACATGATGGACGAGGTGCATCTGTTGAACTGCATCTTATTAAAAGACCTCATCGATTTATTATTGGATAATATATATTTTTGAGCTTTTGTAATTTATTAGCCAGGTAGAAGGAAGTAGAAAAAACTTTGGTCCGAAATATGTTTTGAAAAAAACCAAAACCATTCCGGCTCTGGGAGTACATGTTAACTTAAAAACAAACTCAACCTTCTCAGAACCATCCTAACCATCTCATTTCTCGAAATGCTGCGGTTTCGTAGAGCCTGTTGACGGATGAATCTATCGATTCTCTCGTTTGTAGACCTAGGCCCTCGCCTTCAAGTGTGATGATTCACACTCAGTCTCCTGGCGATTCACACTGGCTGTATCCTTTCACTAAACACTTCGTTTTGACCATGACACTGTCATACTCCTATAGTACAGTGTGGCCAAGGCTGGGGGTGAAACCTGAAAAGGTGAGCATCGTGTCCTCGGTCAATTCTCTTTCTCAATCCAGGTCCAAGGCATCTATTCCTTGAGACCTCTCCCAATCCTTGGAAGCAAGGGGGGTTTCCAGACTCAAAATAATTGTGCTGCCTTGAGGGCGTGGCAAGCTTTCTAAAGCACAAGCTGTATTCGTGTCGGCAGGGGACGGTGTGGATTACGGTACCAGATCCTGTCTGCATAGACGAGGGAGGGTGCATAACCATCTGTACTACGGTGGAGAAGAAATGTTCCAAAGTCCAGCCCATCCATAGGGAATGGATTCGTAGTGGTTCGTGGCGACGCCCCTGGCGGGAACTTAGAGAAGAGGAAGTTCTTTTATCTGTGACCTTCGCCCGAGCACTTGCGTATGGCCATCGTTATAAACCCGGCCTCACGGGATAAGAAGGATCAGACCATCGAAGGGTATAGCGTTGAGGACGCTCAGACTACGCTGACGGAGTCCCTGGAATATATGAGAAGTGACGGATTGGAATGGATAGTGGTCCGTTGTGCACACTCGAAGTATGTATTGTACACGAATGGCAACTTTACCGAAGGCAGTCTCCTCTAGGGGGTGTTTACCAATTCTACTTTAAACAAAACCGCGGTCGGAGCGGATCCAGAAGTTTTTACGCTGGGGAAGCCTCATACTCTGGGAGATAAAAAGGTCTTCTCTATCTAGAGAGTGCGCGGGAAACCAGGCTGATGTATTTCGGCCTAGGTAGCCCTTTGCGCGCGGCATACGATTCGTTGCTCAATGCGGACCCAGCCACTCGGAATGGTCAAGCGGGGAGCGAGGTTCGTCTTGGCCCCTCGGGGCTGGGGCAGCTTGTACACCAATGTTGCGGCTGTAACACCCGTCTAGTCGAGCCGGGGGTGCGTCATCTCCCATCTTGAGAATCTGGTATGGGCAAAAGACTAGGTACGGTGTTAAAGATCCTCATGTCCTTTTAAGGGCTTAGAGTAAATACGGGAACCTAATGTCTTACTCCTTCAAAACCTGCCTAGTGCCATTGAAAAAAGGTTTAAGAATAAGAATAATATCAAATCAAAATCAACGAAAGAAAAAGTTAACTGAAAGCTATCTTTAGGCATAACGGAATGTAAACATAGGAATTAAACAAATTATTATTTACTATTTATTTTGACGACTATGGCTCCTAATTACCTGTAACTAATGTAGAAAGATAATGGGTTTGATTTTATACTAAATAAATGGAGTGGTGCATTAAATTTGTCCATTAGTGTATATTGAAAATATATGAACTTTCCTGCTTTTTTTGTTTTGGTGTTTTACAAAACGTAAATTTTAATCATACTTATTGTATTTTCAATGCATATGTTACTATTACTCTTGTTATGTTCTTCCTTTATTTGGCGTGTTCAAAATAGTATTTTTTAATCTCCAAAATATTTGTTAATTGTAAATCGTAGTTTATTTTTTTCCCAATCGGTTTAATGTTGGATTCATTGTGTTTTTTGATGGTGCATACATATTGTACATTGAACTGGTCAAAAAATCATCTGACCTTACAAATAATAAATTATGGATTCTAAGAGCAATTTTGTCTTTGTGTTGTTTCTTCAGGTTTGCCCCATGGGACAGTTCTCCGGCCAATTTTATTTTCAATCTACACACCGTTTCTCAAGCAATTCGTAACAGTCAACATAATTTTCTTCAAATTATGGATGATATAATGGTATTCCACGATTCTACAGACCTTGTCAGGCTTACAAAACTCTCGCTCACTGAACTGTGGCGTTCTTCCAAGTCATCCAACTTCCAGGGCATCCAAGTCCCCACACAAATCATGAAACTTCCTTCGCTACGTCTCACTATCCACAACGACCTCCACGTTCTTTATGTCAACGAAATGATCCGTATATGATTTCAAAACTAATTCGCCTTAATCGACAATGGCCTAAAGACCTCCATACCATTAAATCCTTCACAATGAGTGCCAGCATTGGTTGGCTTCTCATGGAAAGTGTAGGATGTAGTCATGGCGTCTCAGGATGTAGCGGTGGTACTAGTGTTAGTGTTGACACCGTGTGAAAACAAAAGTACGGTGATCACATTTGTAATATGTACAAATATATAGGCTACAAAATAAATTAGAAAAAAAACTATAAAAATGTATACATATATGACCTTCAGTCACTGTTAATCCATGAACGTGAAATAAATTTATTAAAATCGAACCTGTCTATTCAACCTGTTCCAATTATTAATTATTAAAAAATGTAATACAATATAATTGGTTTAGTATTATATTTCTACCTCACTTTTATTATAATTTATAATTCGTTTTTGATTTTGCAATAAAGCCTGTGTTTCACGAAAGCTATTGGCGAATTTCTAGCTATAAATTTAAATCATAAAACAGATGTACCTCCTATTAAAACATTGTTTCATAAGGTAATCACCAGCTGATGTGAATAAATGAATCAAATGTTTGCCAAAAATATTTAAAGGCTGTTTCAGTTGGTTCATGTGTGTGTTTAGAAAAAAAGCGAAATTTGACAAACAGCTATTGTGCAGAATTGTTGAAAAGTTGTTAGTATCGAGGTAAGCAAGATGAACCGGCTAGCAAGGGTAAAGCAAGTGTTTCAAACGTTTAAGAAACATAATGCAGGAACTGCTAGTGCTGGACCAAATGTCCCACCAGTCCGAGAGGAAAAAGCCGAGAAAAAAGTGGAATCAGAGGGACCGAAAAATCGCGTCAAAGACGTCCTCGACGTTTCTTTCAACAACGCCGAAGCGGCGTACAGAAGCAAGACTACTTGGGAGGTATTCCGAGCTTTGATCGTCTACACGATGTGTTCGTTCAACTACCTCGTGGAGAACAATATGGGGATAATGAAAGCGACTCAAAAAATATTCGGAGAAAAAATATTCATTCTAATTATGAAAGCGACTTTTTACGGACATTTCGTGGCCGGTGAAGATCAGCATAAAATAACTCCGGTTTTGAAGCGTTTGCGATCGTTCGGTGTGAAGCCCATTTTGGACTATTCGGTGGAAGAGGATTTGAGCAGGGAAGAGGCCGAGAAGCGCGAAGCGGATTCCAACCTAACCGAGATAAAGATGAAACCCGAAGACGCGTTGGGCGAGATGCCGCAATACGCCGTGAACAAGACTTTTTTGGATCGCCGTTATAAAGTACAAAGCGCCCGGACCTACTTTTACTTGAATGAAGCCACTTGTGAGAAAAACGTCGAAATATTTATTGACTGCCTTCAGGCCGTAGCAGGTGCCACATACGGCACTGGTATAACTGCTATAAAACTGACCGCTTTGGGACGACCTCAACTGCTGCTGCTCATTTCACAGGTGATAATGAGGGCGAGGCAGTTCGTCAGCGAAGTGCACAAAGGACAGGGCAACGTGATCGGTCATCATCTCTCGGTCGATGAATTGTCAAAAAGGCTCGAAAAAGCGGGAATCAAAGACTCAAAGAAATTCCTTGAAAACGTGGTCCGCGACAGCGAAGGGGTGATACATTTATTCCCGTGGAGTGGGATAATAGATGAAAATTTCCAGCTGAGCGAAACTTTTATGGTCCCGAGTCTTAAGGACGGTAGGATGGTCAAGTTGATTTCCCAATTGCCGAAAGCTGAAGAAGAAATGTTTCGTAATATGATAAGAAGAGTGAACACGCTAGTGAAGACAGCGAAAGAATTGGACGTGCGCATCATGATCGACGCGGAACAGACCTATTTCCAGCCCGCAATATCCAGAATCACTTTGGAAATGATGAACAAGTACAACAGGGACAAAGCGATCGTTTTCAACACGTATCAATGCTATCTCAGAGAAGCTATAAACGAAGTTTCCATGGACTTGGAGCAGGCACACAGGCAGAAGTTCTACTTCGGCTGCAAGCTCGTCCGTGGTGCTTACATGGACCAAGAAAGGGCGAGGGCGTCGGCCATGGGCTACGCGGACCCAATCAATCCTAATTTCGAGGCGACAACAGAAATGTACCACAAAACTCTAAGTGAGTGTCTGAGGAGGATCCAGAAGCTTAAAGACGAAGGGAAATCTCTCGGCCACATAGGGATTATGGTGGCGTCTCACAACGAAGACACGATCCGTTTCGCCCTTCAGAAAATGAGCGAAATGAACATCCCACCGGAATCGAAAGTGATATGTTTCGGCCAACTGTTGGGTATGTGCGATTACATAACTTTTCCTTTGGGCCAGTCTGGCTATTCCGCTTACAAATATATCCCGTACGGCCCTGTCAAAGAAGTGCTGCCCTATCTGAGCAGGAGGGCTCAGGAGAACAAGGGCATTTTGAAAAAAGTAAAAAAAGAAAAACAACTCATTCGAAAAGAACTCCTCAGAAGATTAATGAAAGGGGATATATTTTACAAACCTAAAGGGTCTTATAGCCCGGTATGATGAGGAAAAATATAAGATTTTTTGATTTCTTTCCAATTCTTTCCAAATAATTTGATAAATTATAAAACTCTAAACATGTACTCCAAAAAAATTAGTAAAAGAATTCACATGCAAAAATAAATTTTTTTTGTCCGCTTAATCACTTTATTTAAAACTATAATCGACCGAAAAATAAAAAAGCTACACATTTCACAAAAACTACTTTACATTAAAAAGACTCATATGTTTGATCCTTTTTAATGCCAACAAAACAGATGGATAAGAATTTAATTTTTTTGTTATATTTATTTTCTATCCAATTTAGGTATTTTATGAAAATATGTAATACCAATTAATCTTTACGTAAGGTATTGGTTGAGATAAAACAGTCAGTGCCACGAGCGGGATTCGAACCCACGACCTTCGGCTAAATACGCTGCTGCCCTTACCACTTGAGCTATCATGACTTCGATCCACTAGGACTTAACTTCTCATCTCAACCCCACCTTTTGAATTTTCCCTCATTTTTGCCGTTCCATCAAGTGGTAGAGCAGCGCGCGACAAATAAAATGGCCACGGAGAGCTTTATTGAAGTAAACTTCATTTTGCTTATTACATTTATAAGGTTTCGTGGTCCGCTTGACCAATTAAATTCTTTTCAATTAAATAAGGTTTGGGTTGAGATAAAAAAGTCAGTGTCACAAGCGGGATTCGAACCCGCGACCTTACGATCCACGACGTGCGTTCGAATCCCGCTTGTGACACTGACATTTTTATCTCAACCAAATCCTTAATTAATGGAAAAAATTGTTTTTAATGTTCCGTACTAGCACGGACAATAATTGACAATATTATGTGAGGTAGGTTCTTCTTTTTCCTCAAACATTCTGAAGAGAAGTAGTTTCTCTACTGTGTACGTCTATATGTCTTTATATTTTCTAGGCAAGTTTACATTCTATTTGAATCATTTTATTTGATAAGTCAATTTTTTACCTGATCAATAATCACATATGTATAGAGCACGTATTGTGAATGACAAGCTGAATGAGACTGGACTTGAGTGCTTGGTGTGGCCAGCTTGAAGTACAAATCTGAAACCAATCAAACACATTTGGTACCAACTTAACCGAGTACGACGGCAAAACTCGGTCCTAACGCTGTAGAAGTAGTGGAAAGGGTTTAACGGACGTGACTGGTGCCAGAGGTGGAAAATCTCGGGATTAAACGGGGCAAGAAAGTTCTTTACTCAATAATTGTTTGTTTTTTAGAATTAGGTAATAAACATTATCCTTTTAATCCATATTTGCTTAGTGGCCATAACTGGCCATATTAATTATTCTTTTTATCTAAGATTTTTGGATCAAGTAACGATAGCTCAATTGGTTAGAGCAGCGGCGTATCAAGCCGAAGATCGTGGGTTCGAATCCCGATCATGCCATTGACTTTTTTATCTCAACTAAAAACCTTAATTAATTGAATGATATTAATTGGTCACTAACAGCTCGCCGTGGCCGTTTTCATGAGTCGCTGAAATTCTAGTCGTGATTACGCGACATTTGAAAAAGTTTGAGACGGGGAGTTGGTGTACATATTGAGCTGCAGCATTTGAGCTGAAGGTCGTGGGTTCGAGGCTCGCTCGTGACACAAGCTTTTTCATCTGAACGAAGATCTACATAAAAACAATAATTATTGTATTGATTGCTAAAAAATGCATAATTTTTAATCATAACTCTTTTTTACTATAAATGTTGGAATGGATTAATTATTAATGTTTTGTTGGTAAATTTCTTTGCACTAAAGTGTACATAACAAAAGAAATTTGGTTTTTAGTTATCGATATTGTTTTAATTGCGTTTAAAACTAATGTATTTTATTTTTATTCAATTTTGTAACAAAAAAATTGTTGTATCACGCCATCCATAATCAAAATTTACGATCACAGTGATTTGTGTTTATATTTTATATCCTGAGTTTAATTGAATCATTGACGCAGGACCGATAAGACCGGCCGGTTCTATTTATATTTCGCGGATATCTTTTGCTGATGATGGCATGAAATCGTCAGATGGCCTAAGTTGACCATGATTAACAATTGTAACTCACGTACGATCCATGTTATGAAATCAGTAGGCAGTTTTTTTTTTCTTTTTTTATCAGGTCACTGATAGCGAGGTGAGGACTCGGTTGGAAGGAGCGCCGGGAACGAGATTGAAAGTGACGGTAAAAGTGGTGGGGCCCCACGCCAGACAGTGACTCTCGGCAAGTCCACGAGTGCGCTACCAAAATCTCGCGCGCGTGTGTGCATGTGTGTGTCAGTGTGATAAGTGTGCCTGTTTTGATATTTGACGGTGAAAATCGCGACAGCCCAGTCGAATAGTTGGTCTATTTAACCATCTGGTCCGTCTGGCTTCGCCTTGTAACAGTGAAGAGTAAGTACTCTGGCTATGCCCTAGTTATAAGAGCTTATTATCTTATTTTCACTTTCTGATTTTGTATATCTTAAATTATTATTTCTAAGGTTAAACCGACATTGATAAAATAATTTATCACTAGAAAAAGTTACCTACAAATAAAAAATTAATAACCATCACTTTTTTAAGCGACCAAGTTTTTCTTATACGCTATAAAAAAATTTCTGTTTTTAAAAATTTATAAAAAGACTGTTCTGGTCCGTTAAGCTTCGTCTTACATCTACAAAAAGTGATGCCTTGCCAAAAAAATAAAACATAGATTTTTTAAACTATAATTTTTTTAACATATAAAATTCTCTATGTGGGAGATTTTATTGTTCGGATGTGAAAAATAAATGTTTTGAAGTTGTATTAGATAATCCATTTTACTCGAACATTTTAAGCAATAAAAACTAAAAATACTCTAAGTACTTTTTTATTTTTTTAAATAATAATTTTTAAGTTATTAGTGGAAATTTTTTAATTTACTTATTCTTAATACTTTGGTTCGTATAGGTTTTGACCAAAATATTTGAATGAAATGTGAAGCCAATAAAACTAGTCAATGTTTTAAATTAATTGGGTTTAGATATTCCATATAATAATTTATTTAAAAAATAAATTATCTACATAAACAATTGCTTCAACTGAAACGTACCGGTTGATTCCATTTTTTTAAATGTATGTAGGTATATATATTTGAAATCTTAGTTCTTATTTTAATTTTTAGTCTAAACATTTAAATATTAATTTAACAATATTTAATTAAGGGCTATTATGGACCATCGTGCTTCGTCTTGTACCTCTGGAGGGACGTGGGCTCGTTACCGAAACATTAAAAAAAATTTATATTCTATTTTATTGTTTTTAATTAGTCATTTTGCGGTTTTATGGTCTGCCCGGTTTAGCTTTGCAAATTTAAATAAATAATGTGTATGTGAATATCACTTAAATGATACCACTGCTTTTTCCAAGCATATAACATTTTTTTGACTATGTTTATATATTTCAATATATAAAAATATTTTTCTAATTTGACCTATTATACATTTTTTTTCACATCCTACATGTATTTGTAAAATTTAAACGATGTTTATAAATCCCATGCCTGAAGATGATCTCAATAAAGATCGAAACGTTGGTTCTATTTTATTGTTTTTAATTAGTCATTTTGTGGTTTTATGGTGTGGATGGGGAGGCTGCACTCGGGTTGGTTTGAACGCGAAAAATGTAAAATAAATTCTTCTTTAAAATAAGAGAAAAAAAAACACAAAAGCAAAATAACTGTTGGAGGCTAATTAATTAGTGGACTGTATAGAAGCGATACGGAAGCCAACAGGACAAGAATAGGACAAGACAACATCAAATATTGTGGGGTGGGAACAGAGCTAGGATAGAATTTTAGATTAACGGAATTTGGGGGGGAAAAAACAATGCGCCATATTTGGCGCGAACGCTTCTCGTAACACAGAAGAATAGAGGAACTGTAGGAGAAGAACTTTTCTAAAACATAAAAAAAGAGTACTTCCATATTTTAGATATTTATTTATTTTCAATTTGCTAAGAGCATGCGTTAGGGGTTAAAATGACCTAGCTGTCGATAGCCCATGGAGACTTCAGCGGATAAGACCTAGGGCTTACCACGGACCGCACAAAACTCTTGTACCTGTACTCTGTACATGTGCGTATACATGTACAAGCATGTGAAGAGTTAAGCTTATATAAATCAATCAATCAAAATTACTATTTTTGGGTTTCTAGAGTCAGCCGGGTTTGATTTTGTAATTGTAAGGTGTAATTTTATTATACAAACTCAAGATTTTGTATTTTTAATTTTTTAAAAATCAATATCACACCTTTCTGATAAATTTTTCATTTTTTTTAAACGATTTATTAGCGCCAGTTAGTATAGTAAATTTGGTGTAAGGCTGATCTTGCAACTCTTAAAAAAAGGTTCTTTAGTACAACATATTTCACAAGTAATTAAACTTTTTATGTATGGTTTTGGTTGAAATGAAAAGCTTGTGTCACGAGCGGGATTCGAACCCACGACTTTCGGCTAAATATTGCTGGAGCTATTGTGACTTCGATCCACTCGGACACCTCCCCATCTCAGCCTACAATCTTTCGAATTTTTCCTCCTTTTTGCCATCCAACCTAATTTGAAAAATGGCAAAAAATGAGGGAAAAATCGAAAGATCGTAAGGTGAGATGGGGAGTTGGTGTCCGAGTGGATCGAAGTCACGATTTCTCAAGCAGCCGCCTATTGAGCAGAAGGTCGTGGGTTCGAGGCTCGCTCGTGGCACTAGCTTTTTCATTTCAGCCAAAACCTTACATAAAAAGATTAATTAATTGAAAGAAGTAATTTGGTCAATAGACCACTAAGTATAAAGGATTTAATATTTAGCAAGTAGGTACGTTTTATTTTTAAATATTATTATTTAATTTCCACCGGTTGGTTTTGGAATTTTAATAAAATAATATATATTTCGAATTTTTATCATTTCAAGACATTTTTCCCTAAATTATGATTTTTTATTATATTTGAATTTCTAAAAAGTCAATATTAAACGTTCACTCGTAAAACGTTTTTGCTATTTTAACTTACTTAAAAGCTTTAGGTAGATATAGGTAGGTCGTAAGTTTCAAAATAGGTTATTTTATACATCTTAAAAAATAGGTGTATATTTTAATTATTTATTTTTCAATTTTTTGAGGTTTTTAATGGTTTTTAATGGTAACCCGGGCTTTGTTTTGTAATAGTAACCTGCATATAAATAAATTTTGCCTTTAAGTTTTAGAAACAAATACTAACTACGGATTTTCATTTCTTATCCAAAACACTAGATTTGCTATTTTTGATATTTTAAAAATCAATATCAAATCTTAATTCCTTTCATTGCCCCATTTTTTACTATTGTTTAGTGCATATAACCTACTATAGAAAATTCGGTTTTTTTAAATTCGAAATGATTCATCTTGAATCCCTAAAAGATAGGTTTTTTTCTAAAACATTCAAAGAGCATGTTTTATATATATTTTTTAGTTTGGTTTTTCTACGGTCAGCCGGGCTCACTGAAGATGGCGCAATGCCGAATCGCGTTTGTGTACTAAAACAAACCGACGATTACCCAAATAAATGACCCGGTGCCGGTTCAGCGATTTGTTTGGATATTTTAAAATTGAATATAAAACCTTCATTACTTACTCATTTTCTTTTTTAACGGATTTTTATTACAACATAGTACGACAAATTTGAGGTTCTTAGGACGTCCAGGTTTTTTCTTGTAATTTTTACTAAATATTTCATAAAGTCAAAATTATACTGCTATTTATGAATCATTCTAAGCGCAGGATCTCTTGTTTAGTCGATATTACTACTTTGTTTTTTACGTTATGTATGTTTTAACGTTTTTCTAATGTCACGTAGAATGGAACATTCAGGTGAGGCAAGTCATAAAAGAGAGTAGTTTTATGTATTTGAGTTGCCTTTCAAGTCTTGAAAGAATTCTTTTTAAACGTTCGACCTTCTCACAAGACATTCTTTAAGAAAAAAAAACACGTTTGTATAAATAAATAAATAAAAAGACGAAGAAGAAAAAGTAGTGTTCTACTTTGGATTTTAAAATTTAGAAAAATGAAAAACTTTAAAGAACTGAACTACTATTTTTTTTCCAATAATGCAGGTTTCAAAAAGTATTAATAAGTACTGTAGGTTTGGATATGATGAGTAATAAATAACCGAATCATGCTTTACGGTCTGTCGGGCATATAAATTAAAATGAACATTGGAGCAGACGTGGTTCGGTTTTGTTATTACAGTTGTATATTTTAATATTTTATTATTTAACTACCGAAGAAAAGAGATATATCTCTGATTGGACAATCACTCATCGAAAGTGGCCTGAAGTCCGAACCTGTATGACCGATATGTAAACCAGCAAGAAGAGACGGACCCAATGATGTGATTAGTGTCGATCGGTCTGAATTGAATATCCATTTACACACCAACCAAATAGATTTATCTATTTATCTATCTAGTGTATATCTGTATACCCTCTTTTCTTTCTTTCTTTCGTTTCCTTTCTCGTTATCTCATGCTCTTTCTTCCCTTCACTCTCCCTCTCTCATTCGCTTTCACTCTTTCTCTCAGTCTCTTATGCTCTCTCTCTCTTTCTTTCACTTATGCTCTCTCTCTTTCTCTCAGTCTCTTATTCACTCTCTCTCGTTCTCACAGTCTATCGTTCGCGCTCTCACTTTCTCTCTTTTTCATTCGCTCTGTTTCTCCCTCTCACTCTCTATTTTTCACTCGCTGTCTTTTTTTCTTTTTCTCTCTCATTTACTCTCACTCTCTCTCTTTCTCATACGCTCTCTCGCTCCCACTATCTCTCTCTCCCTCTCTCTCTCTCTCTCTCTCTCTCTCTCTCTCTCTCTCTCTCTCTCTCTCTCTCTATAACTTACTTTCTCACTCAAGTCCTGTCTCCGTCTCTCTCTTTCTGCCTCTTATTCTCTCTCTCTCTTTCTCTTTCTTTTACCTTTCACTCTTTTTCTCAGTCTCTTATTCACTCTCTGTCTTTTTCACAGCCTATCGTTCGTGCTCTCTTTTTCTTTCGCTCTCTCTGTCTCTCTCTCTCTTTCTCTCTCTGCCTTTCACTCGCTTGTCTTTTTTTTCTCTCTTTCTCTCATTCGCTGTCATTCTTTTTTCTCTCTTGTTCGCTCTCACTTTCTCTGTCTTTTTTTTCTCTCTCTCTCTCTCTCTTTCATTCGCTGTCATTCTTTTTTCTCTCTTGTTCGCTCTCACTCTCTCTGTCTTTTTTTTCTCTCTCTCTCTCTTTCATTCGGTCATTCTTTTTTCTCTCTTGTTCGCTCTCACTCTCTCTGTCTTTTTTTTCTCTCTCTCTCTCTCTCTCTCATTCGCTGTCATTCTTTTTTCTCTCTTGTTCGCTCTCACTCTCTCTATCTCTCATTTGCTTCTCTCT